ATTCTGAATCTGGGGCCCTCGATCCCTCCATCCACGACCCAGGACTTTGATCACCGACCCAGGATTAGATGATCGTTCTGGTGACCTTTCTGGAGCCACTCGCTCCACTCAATGCGTCGATGCTGCGACGAACGTCCGTCGAATTAGGTCGAACGTGAGCCGAAGTTGGGCCCCGAGAAAATCTGCCAAAAGGGGGAACGAAAGCAAATCCGATCAATATCGGTCCCTGGACCCCTCGAAGGCCCATATGTTGCAATGTTCACCTCTGATCCGGCTTTGGCGGTCCTGGGGCCCGAAAAGGGCAGGCAAAAACCATCTCGAACCCAGTACCTCGAACCTGCCCCCCCCCCAGCCCTCCTCCTGGCGGGAACCAGTGCTGAGCCGCCCCAGTCCCCCAGCTAACTCCCACCTCAGACATCGATCCTCGACCCCGGCCGAATCGAGGGGACGTAAGGTGGGGTGGGCCCAGAGGTGGGGTTACAGGAGACCGCCTCGGACGGCTCCTGGAGAAGGGAAATATCAACCTCAGGCTGGGTTGACAACCTGACCCCGCCTTGGGCTAACCCCCCCTCGACGACTCCGTACCCCTGGCCGAGGGGCAAACGAGCCTCCATCTGGGGCCCTCGATCTTCCTTCCTCGGGGGGCGCGCCTGTCCCCGGCCTCGCAGGCATGTGGCCGCCCGCCCGTGGCGGCATGGCCGGCGGCGGCCACCGCCGCCGGCGTGCACGGGGCCTCCAGGGAGCGCGAGCGCGCGCGTTGCGACCAGAGCTGCCGCGGGGGAGGACCAACTGCGAGGACCGAAGTTCTGAGGGGTAGGGAGGGTATAGGCATAGGCAGGGATGCATCGACCTCAAACGGCCGATACATGGCCGATACATCGCCAATTATGTTTGGCGGACCAAGCGACTCCACATGAATCAGGCAGAGTGTCCTGGTATCAACGATGTACCGTGGGTGTCTCAACGATGCATCAACCATTCGGGGTCGATGCACCCCTCCCTATGCCCATCCCCCCTATCGTTGCCCCTGAACTTCGAGGGTCGAACTTCGAATCAAGGTTGTTGGACGTTTATCGCCTTCCTGGGGCCTCTGGAAGGCTGCTCGTTGCCACGGCTGGATCTGCCACGAAATTCCGGCCCAGACATACCCCAAGATGGGCTCAGGGGCTCGACGCTTTGCCACAGGACCCAGATCTCCGAGGATCGGCGATTCTGCCATGTTTCGATCAATGAAATACTTGCAGATCGATGCCGCTCGAGAAACACAGCGTGAAGACGAGGTTCATGGCTCGGGTCGAGTTTTCGTTTTACGATGTTGCAATTTGCTCGAGGCGTCGGATCTCGGGGACTCCTGGTACGTCTTCGTAAGAGAACCGCCAAGGGCGGTCGAGCCCAACTATTAAGGAGCCATCAAGCCGCATCAGGCCGGATTGAGCCGAGAATCTGGATCAAGCCAGACTACATGGAATTACTGTCAGAAATCATGTCGGAATCCTGTCGGATGAAGCCAAGATTGAATGTCGTATTCAATGCCTGAAAAATGTCGGTTAATGGTTAACGCCAGAATTACTGCTCGATTAAACTGGATTCAGCTGGAATCAATCAAGATTATGTCGGAGCGTGCCGGCTTTCGGCTACGGATACAGCAGCGCTGATGCTGAATCCCACCAACCATCTGGGCGTAGGTGGTTCATCGAACTTTGTCTTCTCTTGGCCAAAACCCATCCTTCCACTGCTCGGGGGGGGGAGGAGGTACATATTTTTGGTTCTTGGCACAAAGAAGGGAGGAGGGAGGACGGAAGGGGGGACCAAGAGCACGGAGGGAAGAGGCGAGCAGGAGGAGCCTGCCCCATGCCCCATGCTCTCATGCCTTCATCGCCACCCTCTTCCTCCCCCCCCTGCGAGCGCCGAGGCACATCTATACCTCGCGAGCCCACGCACGGACCCTGATCTCGACCACGACAACGGCGACAACATAGAGCGGCGCGACGGCACCGACAAGCCCAGCAATTACGCCGCCGCGGCGGCGTGCAGCGCGGCCGCCCGGCCGGCGCTGTCCACCCCGAGGGCAGAACGCAACTGCCGAGCTGTGGCCCGGTGGAGGGCCACCCTCGATCCTCGGCCCATCTCGATCCTCAACCCTCCCCTCTCCCCTGAAGCAGGGAAGGGAAGAGGACGGACATCACTTGGCTCCAACAAAAGTTTCCTTGGAAATTCACAACAAGCAATATATGCGTGCACGCCCGTCGGCGAGATGAGTTGTCGCGCGCGAGTGCTGAGCGCTCGCGCGCACGAGATCCCAAGACGCCCCCATGGCTGCAAAATGGTTCCATGAGGGCCCGTGGCCAAAGGCGATAACGTCCCGCCGACCCTGGGATGACGCCACCCCAACACGATCCCGCCATCGATTCTGGACCGTCGCAGGCCGACCCGAAAATGACCAAACAATGGGGCCACGAGTGACGCCGAGATGGCCCGATGGCAACAAGATGGATCCACGCGCGTCCAGGGTGGCCCCAGAATGGACACGCGACGGCTGCGCGACCCAAGCATGACCGAGATATAATCTCAAGATGACCTCAAGACGATACTGACGCGCCAAGAACACTACAAATTCGGGGCCCAAGCTTACTTCGAGCCGATCCTAGCATGGCGGGATCCGTGAACGACCCGGGATATTTGTTTACCCCATTTTTGCTGGGTGGGATTTTAGCCTGGCTGAACTAAAATGATAATATTCACGGGGAATAATTTGGGCGGGATCCCGCCCAGCCCACGGCAGAAGACTACATTGCTAGGCTTCTACGGGGGGGAACGGGGCTCGGACGGGGCGTCATTCACTCTCGCTGTCTTCCGCGAACCTTCCGACGGCCTTCCGCCGTCTTCCGCCTCGTTTTACTTCCGTCGGCTTCCACGAGCGAGCGATGTGACGAACATTCAAGGGACTTTCTTTGGGCCGATGCAAGGAGGAGGGAGGAGAAGGAAGGAGGGAGAGAGGAGGCAGGAGGGAGGTAGGTAGGGAGGGATGAGCAGGAGGGAGCAGGAGGGAGGGAGGGAGAGAGGAGGCAAGGGGGGGGGCCTCTTCTTCGAAGTCGGAAGGCTGTCGTGACGCGGGCCCCTGGGGATCTCGACCCCTTCCCCAGGTGGGGTGCGTCCAAGAGGGGGGCGTCCAAAAGGGGGGTCGCAAATCATTGCCCGAGGCATGTGCGCGGACGAGGGGGGAGGGACCAGGGGCGCACTCAAAAAGAAGATCGGGCCATAAGATCCGGGGTGTTTTTTTTCCATGGCCCAGGCCATCATATCCACTCCCGTCTTGCCATCACCCCCCCCTTGGCCGCCCCGGCCAGGGCCGACTTCTCATCCCGAGTCGTTCCCTGACGGCCATGGGGGCTGGGAAAAACGGCCCCCAAACGCCGAAGACATCCGACAACTGGCCGTCACTGTTTCTGCTCACCTGGATCTGGGAGGAGGGGCAGAATGGAGGCGCACATGGGGTCGGACAACTCACGCCGCATTGTCGATACATCCCCAGAAATCCCCCGTCGTGATTTGTCCCAACCATCCTGCGGTGTTGAGTCCCCGCTTTGAACCCGCACCCGATTCGGCACACCCCTCACACGTTTCGTTGTTTTGTTTTCGCATGCTTCGTTCGCATGCGTTCCCACGCCCATGTCAGCACACCCCTCACACGTTCCGTGGTCCCATACGGAACTCCCCCCTCATTGGTCCCAGCTGCCTTGCAGTACTCACTCTTGCAGATGGTTGGGTTGATCATTTCACAACGCGGCCCCCCATAGGTCTGGGCCCCTTCCCCGGGATCATATCCTGAGCTATATGTTGACGGTCCTGGGGCCCAGTGAGGGCCCCCGGGGGCCGAAAACAGCCAAAGAACCTCCCGCCGTGATATCTGTTCACGACGCGAGGATGCCACGGTGACTGACGCAGCCGCCGATGCATAGCCTCGACGATGCGTCGGCGAGGCGGCGCAGTCCTCCTCGCCCCATCTGCTCGGACCCCACTTGGGAGGCCGAGTAGGAGAGGAGGATCAGGGAGGAAGAGTTTGGAGGAGCAAGGAGGAGGAGCAGGGAGGAGGCGGAAAAGGAGGAAGAGGAGGAGTAGCAAGGAGGAGGCGGGAGGAGTTGGAGGTGGAGGAGGAGGACGAGAAAATGGAGCACGAAGGAACAAGGGAGGAAGACATACTCGACGCGGAGATCCCCATATACGCATCTCACTTCGGGGCACTTCCGTCTTTGAGTGTTTGAACCAGAGAGTCTTAGCCTGTGGCGACTCAGCGCTCCCTGGCGACTCCGTTTTGGAGCGCCCAAATGCCATGCCTGCTACATCGGGATGATATTGGGACTCGGAGTGGAGAGGGTCGGGGGTGCCTAAACCAATGTTTCGTCTGAGAGGTCCCACGATGCAAGCGCGACCTGGCAAGTGTAACGCCCCCTGGCGGCTCCCCAGTGGGAAGCACAAGTTTTACGCCGACAGCATCGCGGTAATCATGAGGTTCTCAATGGCGACGTGTCGGGGGGGGGGCCAACGAAGCGCTCGAGATATCCCCACAATCTACATACGAACGGGCAAAGGAAACACCCCCTGGCGGCTCCTCCTTGGGTGAGCGCGAAATGGCAAATGTCCTAGCCCCTGGCGGCTTCTCCTTGGGGTGCTCAAACATCATGCCTTTTTCATCGATGTGATCAGGATGTTCTGAAATGAGAAAGAGTCGGGGCCACCAAACGAGCGAACCGCTGTAGACATCCCCACACAATGGGCGCGAATGAGCGAATATCCTACCCCCTGGCAACTCCTCATTGGGGTGCTCACATCGCATGTATGCTGCATCGGGGTTATCATGATATGTTCAAAATCCGCCGTGGGGTGTCTGTCTGGTCCCGTCGACGGGACGCCCTTTCTGTTTGTCCTTCCCCGTCGGGGGTGAGAGAGCACTCTCCCGTCGTCGGGGGGAGGAGTCCGGGGATTGAGGGAAATCGACCCACGTCGTAGTCACGTCAAAGGGAAGCCCCTTCCCTTTGTCCCTTCCCCGGCGGGGGGGGGTCCTGGGGGTCGGGGGGGAGGTGGTCAGATTCGCATCCCCAGCTTGCGGCTTTTACAGAGGGGCCCTCTATAAATGCGGTGGAGGAGGGGGGGGTCGCCACGACGGATCCGCAAGAGCGCCCCCAGACGGCCCAAGCCCCACAAGACAGCCCAAAAACGCCTAAGGACGGCCAAAGGGGGCCCCAAGACGGCCAAAGGACTCTCCCCAGATACGTTTCCCCCTCGAGCGCCTCCGAAACCATGAAAAGCTGTTTCCCAACCCAGAATGCCACAACGCTCCTCCTCCTCCTCCTCCTCCTCCTCCTCCTCCTCCTCCTCCTCCTCCTCCTCATCATCCTCATCATCTTGCTCGTCCTCCTCCTCCTCCTCCTCCTCCTCCTCCTCCTCCTCCTCCTCCTCCTCCTCCTCCTCCTCCTCCCCCCTGCTCCTCCTCCTCGTCCTCCTCGTCCTCCTCCCCCTCGTCTTCCTCCTCCTCCACAATTACACAATATGAATACTACTCTCCTCCATCCCCTGATGGCGTGCGGAAGATAGCGGGCACCCCTCCGCGTACTGTTTTTTTACACACAGGATTTCCCAGAATTGGGTTTTCGCTTGGTTTTTTTCAAAATGATGCTCTCGCTGAGGCGCGGGCTTTATTTTCGGGCTTCCGCTCGTTCCGAATCGTGCTCCCGCTGCAGCGTTGGCCTCATTTCCGTGCTTCCGCTCGTTCCGAATCGTGTTCCCGCTGCAGCGCTGGCCTCATTTCCGCGCTTCCGCTCGTTCCGAATCGTGTTCCCACTGCAGCGCTGGCGCCATTTCCCGTGCCATGCCACGGCATGCAATGCAATGCTAGGTTGCGTTCCGTTGCGCGATGCCATGCCTTCAGCTGCAGCTGTCAGATCCAGTGCTTAAGTGCCACGTCATGCTATGCAATGCGACGCTTTGATCTTCAACACCATGCTATGCAATGTTATGTTCGGGGCCGCTGTGCGATGCCATGCTTTGCGTTGCAAAGCTTTGTGTTGCAATTCTTCACTACGCCACGCCACGCCATGCCGTGACATACTACGCTTTGCGGTGCTCTTCTACGCCATGCCATGCCGTGCTCTACAGTGCATCGCGTACCCTCTCGGGATCATTGCCCTGCTCGACATCCGACTGTGCGAGTAGAGAGGGGATATATGCCATGGTAAGGGATGAGAGGGAGGGGTAGGATGTCAGATATGACGCGAGCGCACCTAGCTTGTCCCCCTCAATCCCTCCATCCCTCCCTCCCTCCCTCCTCCTCCTCCTCCTTATTATTAGTCTTATTATTATGCGTCTTATTACTCGTCTTAATCCTCTTAGTTTTCCTCTTCTTCCTCCTCCTCCTCCTCCTCATCTTCCTCCTCCTCCTCCTCCTCCTCCGCCTCCTCCTCCGCCTCCGCCTCCTCCTCATCTGCCTCCTCCTCCGCCTCCTCCTCCTCGTCATCTTCTTCTTCGTATTAGTATTATAAGTACTATTATTATTAGTAGTATTATGTGCCTTATTAGGATTCTTCGTCGTTTCACTATTGTTCGTATTATTAGTCGTATTATTATTCTTATTCGTATTATTAATTATTCGCATTCGTCGTCGTATTAGTCTTCGTCTGCTGTTTAGTATTATTGATATTCTTATGACTCGTCGTGTTAGTCTTCGTCGTATTTTTAGCATTCGCATTCGTAGTAGTAGTAGTAGTAGTATTCTTGTTCGTATTACTATTATTATTAATAATATTATTATGGGTAGTAGTCGGAGTATCAGTCTTCTTATGAGTAGTAGTCTTCACATTCGTAGTGTTACTAGTATTATTAGTCGGTGTATTATTCTTATTCGCCGTATTCGACCTAGTCTTCTTCTTACTAGTAGTATTAGTATGATTGGTATCCGTCGTGATAGTATGTTTCGTTTGTTTCTCCGCCTCAAGTTCCTCATCCTCATCCGTATTCTTACTATGCGCATTATCATCATCATTATTATTGTAATTATTATTATTATTGTTATTATTATTATTATTAGTATTAGTATTCGTATTATTATTGTTATTATTATTGTTGTTATTATTATTATCATCGTGTTCCTCCTCCTCATCTTCCTCCTCCTCCTCCTCCGCCTCCTCCTCCGCCTCCCCCTCCTCCTCATCCACCTCCGCCTCCTCCTCCGCCTCCTCCGCCTCGTCCTCCTCCTCCTCCTCCGCACTCGCCTCCGCATTCGCCTCCGCCTCCGCCTCCGCCTCCTCCTCCTCCTCCTCCGCCTCCTCCTCCGCCTCCGCCTCCGCATCCGCGTCCGCATCCGCTTCCGCCTCCTCCGCCTCCTCCGCCTCCTCCGCCGCCTCCTCCGCATCCTCCTCCGCCTCCGCCTCCGCCTCCGCCTCCGCCTCCGCTTCCGCCGTCGCCTCCGCCGTCTTCTCCGCCTCCGCAGCCGCCTCCGCCTCCGCC